AATTTCTCCAAACAGTGATCTGTGATGATAATTTCTTTTTTATACAATTATCGATGATAACAAAGTGATAAAATAGTATAGAAAATGTTTCTATGTATCTGTAATATTCAAAATAAAACTAAATGTAATTTTTGTTACTTATTAATTGATTAGCTTACTTAATTTCTGATACTTATTAATTAATTAGCTTGTTTCTTTTAATTTCTGATACTTATTAATTAATTAGCTTGTTTCTTTTAATTTCTGATACTTATTAATTAATTAACTTGTTTCTTTTAATTTCTGATACTTATTAATTGACCAGCTTGCTCAATTTCAGATTATTATTGATCAGCTTGTTTTGCTTAATTTTTGATACTTATTAATTAATTAGCTTGTTTTCTTCAATTCTTGATACTTATTAATTGACCAGCTTATTTTATTTAATTTTTGATTTTTATTAATTAATCAGTTTGTTTTATTTAATTTGTAATATTTATTAATTGTATATATATTAATTAGCAATAACCATTTTGCTTATATTATTTATGCTACTCCAAAATTTATTTTATATCAACTTTTATAATTTTTTTTCTTTTATTTCACAGCTGAGCTTAAGATTAGAAAAAGAAAAAGAAAGGCAAAGCTTATTTTTTTTTCTTTGTTTTCAAATTAATTAATTGGAAAGATCAATTTGGTCCTTTTTTAATTAATTCTGTTAATTCTTTTTTTTTTTCATTCTTAATAATACATTTGAAATGATTAAATGTTTACTTATTTATATAAAAAAGGAAAAAAAAACATTATCTATTGCTATCAGTGAAAAATTTCCAACGCAGTAATATGTTTATTTAAATAAATAAAAATATGAAAAAATAAACAAAATCATTTTTTAATGTTAGAAATATTTTAGTTATTAAGAAAAGTGGAAAAAAAAGATTCACTATCAGTATATTAGCATATTAATATTTATCAGTTTGTAAATATTGGTGTAATTGACTAATATAACATATGAAATTGCCCAAGAAATTGCCCATTTTTTCTTCATTTCTTCCCAATTTTATTTTTTAAATAATTTTTTAGTGAAAAAAAAATAAACAAGTAAACAAATAAACTATTATTCATGTGCATTACCACTTTTTTTTTGTTATTAACCACAATTAATAATACAGAAATGTATGCAATAACTTATTTTTTATAAACATTCAATTAATTTGCATTAATTTATTTAATAAAAATAAATAAATTAATATAAGATTAGATTACTTCAATAAAAATTTTTCAATTTATTAATTACAATTTTACATTTCGTTGAAATGAGGAATTTATTTCCCATTCGATTGTTTAATTAATTGCTCAATTTTATCGATACTTTCTCTCCTCTCAAATTCAAAATTTCTAATTGAATGCTTTAATGAAGGGAAGAAAATTATAGATGTAAAACTAAGTTTTTCTTTTTTTCCTTTTTAAATTTAAATACAATTTTCAAATATTCTTTCTTTTTTTCTTTTCATTTCAAATTTGTCAGCCTTTTTTTTTTTGTCATTTAATTAATTATATTAAATTTGTTTCGTATTTTTTATGCGATAAAACACAACTATTCTTATTTTTTACTCTAACCACTTTATTTAATTTTAAATTAAAATTTACTTTTTATTATCATTTTATTGCTACTTTATCGAAAGCTTCCGTATAATTTGAAATTTTTGATGAAATAACATTTTTTTTTTTTCTATTTGTTTTGTTGCTTTTTTATTTTGCTATTTTCGTCCATTTTTTTTTTCCTAAAAGTAATATTTTTCATTTTTTTTTTCATTTTTTTGTTTGTTTTTTGCTCTCTTTTTTTTTTGATAAAAACAAATATATCATCCAGTATTAGTTTCATTTTTTATGCCATACATTAAAAAATTTATTTTACATTTTCAAATTTCTATTTGCCAAAATCATTGTTTTTTTTTAACATTTCAGCTTATCTTTTAAATGTCGAGTATTTTTCTTTTTTCTTTTGTTTTCCTTTTTCAAGCAAAAAAGAAAAATAAAAAAAAATGTTATTATTAATTTAAATGAAAATGATGATATCATTTAAAGAGAATAATCAATGATTGGAATATATCGGAAATCAATATCACAAATGACTTTTCATTTATTTCGACATAATTTTTTAATTATATCATGCTAATTATGCTTACTTACGTTGAAAGTGCGTTGAAAATGACGTGAAAATTTGTGCCAACAAATTAATTTATATTTTATAAACAGAGAAGAATATTAGCTTTCTTTTTTTTTTATTTTTGTTTTTTTTTTTTTTTAGTAAAATTGAATTTGTGTTAGAGAATACAAAGTTTATTTTTGCACATTTTCTTGAAATCGTAATTTGATTTATAATTCTTTTTCTTTTTTTTTTTCGTTTTTCTTCTTTCAATTTTTTTTTTCCATCGTTTTATATTGCTATCAAAAATTATGAAAAAAATTAAGTCAATAATGAAACAGTCATTGTGATAACAATTATTTCTACCATTTTTTAATTTTGACTCTTTTATTGCAATTCTAATTTTCATTTTCTAAATTATTTTGAAACTTTATTCCATCTCTTATAATCATAAAAATTTTCATCCTCAATTATTTTTTTAATTCTTTTAAAATTTCTTTCTTCTTTTTATTTAAAAGATTTTAAAATACACAAAGTTGCTGTATGTGTATGTATATATCACATCGTAAAGTTAAATCAAAATATTGAAAAGATTTAAATGATTTCAAATTTTATTTTTTCTTATCATTTTTTTTCGGCTACTGGCAAATAATTCTCAACCATACCATTTGCTCCGAAATATAATTTCAATTTCAATTTCATTTCCCAGAATAGTCATTCATTTTTTGGAATGGAGCAAATTTTCCTTTGATTCGAATATTTCAAATATTTTATTGTAATTTTGTTAGTAATATAATGCTAACATAAAATTTGCTTTATTATATTAACATGATTATATATATTAATTATTAATTAATTATATTTAATAATTATTTAACAATTATTATTTGCTTTATAGTATTGAGGAGCAGCAAACACTAATAATTCACTTTTTATATTTGTATAAAATAAAGCAGTCAATCAATAAATTGCAGTTTCTTTAGTATCTATAAAATAATTATATATTTTAATTGCATCAGTAAAATACAATTACAATAACAATTGTTATTGTAATTCTAGAATCTGTTGTCACAATTATTATTAATGTTAATTGTAACTATTAAATTAATGAATAATACATTGTTAATATCATCTATGTTTCAGGAACTATTTTTTTTTGTTCAGGAACTATTAATATGCTTATTAGCACATGTGTTAATTGTTAATTAGCATTGAAATTATTGTTGCTAAAACATTAACAATTAATTATGATAAAATGAATGGAATTTGTTGATAAATTATTTAAATATCTCCTTTAATTATTATTGTATTATTAACAAAAAAATTTATTTACTTCCTTTTATTATCAAATTTTAATAATAAATTAATAATATCATAATTATACAAAAATAATTTGCACTGAAAATATTTCATTTGCCATTTCAGTTGCTAATATTTCATTTTTGTCAACTTATTTACTAATTTTCTATTTTTTTTCTCAATGATACTTTGAAAATTTTTCTTCTCACTTTGTTTAAATTATTAATTTATCAAAACGTTATTAATCATAATTTTTAAAACTGAAAAAAAATCGTAATTTTTGTTGGTAAAATTTTTGACAAACGAATATAAATTGATAAAGAAATAAATTATTCCTTTGATTTGACAACGAATTACTTTTTGATTCATAAATTTAAAATTAAATTAACAATTAACAATTTTATTTTATTTTTACTTCCATGCATATATTTTTTCCTGTCTTTCCTTAATTCATATTATTGATTTGAAATTAATTATTTCTATTAACACTCAAATTTTTTTCACAAATTAAATGAAAAGTTTGAAAGTAAGAAGTAAACCTAAAATAAAATATTACGTAATTCACTTTTTTTTCTTACCTCAATAAATGGGGAAGAAATAATTAATTGGGAGTTATCTGTGATCAAATAATTCATTACGCAAATGAAATTCGTCCTTACATTCTTTATTTGCTTTTCTATTTCTTGTTTTCTCTCTCTCTCTTTGTCTTTCTCTCTCTGCATTTCTAATCATTTACTAAAATTTTTTTAGTAGTTTCAAATTTAAAAAAATAAATGAGCAAATAAAGTTTTCTGACAGAAGATTTATCTTTTATTTTATTTTTAGTATAAATTTTTTGTTAAAAAAAAAGTTGAGGAACAAAGAGAAAAGGAAAAAATGAAAGAACTTAAAGATTTAATCAGAAATAGGAAATGAGAAAGTAAGTAATGAAATAATTGCTACTGGATAAATAAATAAATAATTTCATATTTACGAATGAATTTATAATATTATTCAATAAATTGTAATTCATTAGCTCATAGTTGTAAATTCTATCAAATATTGATAATTTTATGATTATTTAATAATAATTTTTATATAATGTCTACATAATGCATTGTTAGACAATAATTAAAATATTACAATAAAAGCAAAATTCAAACGCTTAATAAAAATGAATAATTTTGAATACTGTACATCAAAATTCCTGGAATACTGTACGTTAAAAAAACTTTGAATACTGTACGTCAAAAATTTCTGGAATACTGTACGTTAAAAAACTTTGAATACTGTACGTTAAAAATTGTATACTGTACGTCAAAAAATTTTTGAATACTGTACGTTAAAAAATTTGAACACTGTATGTTAAAAATTGTACACTTTGCCTCAAAAAATTTTTGGAATACTGTACGTTAAAAAACTTTGAATACTGCATGTTAAAAATTGTATACTGTACGTCAAAAAATTTTTGGAATACTGTATGTTAAAAAACTTTGAATACTGTACGTTAAAAAATTATTTCTATGGAAATCTTTGTATTATGTGTTATTTTATTATGTGATATTAATTTTACTTTTTATAGAATGAATTAAAGATGGTTAAATTGCTTAAATTTGATATTGAATTTAATAATGCAGAAAGTGCCTATTTTGCTGGACAAGAAGTATCTGGAAAGGTAACATTCATCGATTATTCATTTTGCAATGTTATTTTAATTAATCGATTATACTACATCTATCATTATATTTTGATCTTAGAATTTTAATTAAATTAACTTAAAAAAACTTTTCAAGAAATAAAAAAGTTCTGGCGTAAAATTTACAATTTAGTATCGTAATTCAATAATGAAATATGTTCGTAATACTACATAAGTAATGCATAAAATTAAGTATTTTATATTAAATTAGGTGAATTTTAATTTACACTGAATTAAGCAATTTATTTTTTAAAAGTTTTAACACAAAAAAATTAGGGTTGGAAACAAAAAAAAAAGAGGACTGAATGTAAATCAATTGAAATGTCCTTTATTTTAAAATATATTTCAATTAGTGATATCATGCTTAAAATTTGAAATGATTATAAATACAAGCTGAAATATAATCATGTTAATCATTATAAGGAAGCAATAATTAAGTGATACAATTTTTTCTTCCAGAAAATTAATTTTGCTTATTTGTATTATCAAAAAATCTATGAATATGAAAAATGATAGATTTTTTAAATTGAATGTTATTTATTCTTTGCAGAAAATCAATCGAAATAATTGAAAAAGTTAGATGATGGCGAAAGCAGTTATAAGATAAAATGATATGATAACATGTTATAAAGAAGAACTGAATCATTTCAAATTAATTAAAATAAGTTAAATTTTGAGATGAATATTGATGTCGAGATTTTTTTATCAATTTGCCCAGTACACTTTTAAATGCGTTGATAAGATTTAAATAACTGTAATAATTAATTAGAATATCTCTTTTTGTTATTAAAAATTCATTTTGGAAAGTACAATTTTTAATTAGAAAAATTTTTTTTTCAACCTATATTTTAATTAAGAAATAATTAAGCATTAAAAAAAAGTTGCTAACAGTGATTGTTTTATCGGTTGGTAGTTTTTAAAATCTCTAATTATTTTTGTAATCATAGTAACTAGTTATTGTTTTTTCTTTGAAATCAAATTTTTTTCTTCTTTTTTTTAAACATACTGTATTTTTCATCTATAAACAAAAAATTTTCTTCTTGTTTACTTTTTATTAAGCCATTAAAATAATTAAAAATTACGAGCAAAAAAAAAAAAAAGAAAAATAGAAGAAATAGATGGACATTTGAGTAATATACGAATTATTTCAATAATATAAATGAGTAGCGCAAAAATTATTAATTTTTTTTTATGCTAGAAAAATTAGCAAACTTTTGAAATTTTTTTAATTCATTTTCATATAATAATTTTTAAATCATTTAATGCAAATGAATGAATTTATTTTTGGAAAGCAAAAATATTACTTTAATAAGTAAGAATATATTATTATTTTAGGTTGTAATCGAAAATACTGAACCAAAAAAGATAAATGAAATATTATTGGAACTTAAAGGACGAGCTAAAACATATTGGACAAAGCATTCAGGTAAAATATTTATGATAACAATAATTTTCTTTTTTCTTCTATTAATTAAAAAATGATTTATTAAAAATAAACATTATGAAATGCAATGAAGCAAAATGCACCAAAATCAATTAATTAATTAATCAAAATCTTAACAAAATGTCTTATTTATGGCAAATGAAAAAGCAAATTCAGTGTAAAATATTTTTCCTCTCATTACTGTTTAAAAAAAAAAAAAAATTATTGAATAAATATTTTCTAATAATCTTTTATTTTAATTAATATTTTCTAATAATCTTTCATTTTATCTATTTATTTATTTTTTTTATTTCTATGATATTTCAAATTAAATTTTTATTTCATTCTACAAATTTTATTTAATTTCCATTTTTTTCGCTCTTTTGTTTTAGAACTTTTTGTCATATTTTTTTTAATTTTTTTAAAATTTTTGTGTATTTTTTTAATTTTCGAATTTCAATTTTTTTTTTTTGCTGTTTTAGGCAAATCAAGAATGCATTGCAGTCAAGCAGAGCCATATTTTTGTGAACAATTCAATACTTGCTATACTCATCAATTTACTCAAACTACTTCAGATAATCAAAAAGTCATCCATTTTTTTTTTTCACTCCAAAATACTTTTCTCTGATTTAAAAAAAAAAAATGTTATTTTTTTAATAAATATTATTACCCCAAAACAAATAATTCATAATTTAACTTTTATTACCAAATATTTTTTATTTTTTTTTATTTTTTTATTTTTGAATTTAATTTATATAATATAAGTAAATTGTTATATTTTAGATGAATATTATATTTAAACAAATAATTCACAATTTAAATTTTATTGTTATATAATGAATTGCTATCAAATATCTTTTTGGCTTTTAACTTTTTTGATTTTAATTACACGAGTTGTTATTATATTTTAGAATAAAATTTAATTAATAATTTAGAATTTAATTAATATTTTAGAATAAAAATTTTTGAAATAAAAAAGCAAATGATAAATTTTTTTTTTGAATTGTTTTTAATTTTTCGAATTTAATTAAATTTAATGTAATTTTTCTTTTCTTTTTTCTTTTTTAGGAAAGAATTTTACCAGATGGAAGGCATGAAATACCATTTTCTTTCACTTTACCAAAAACTTTGCCAACATCATTTGAAGGAGAATTTGGCTTTATTCGTTATACATGTAAAGCAATATGTGAACGACCCTGGGATGTTGATATTATATCAAAACGAGCATTTACTGTTATCGGTATTGAAGATATCAATCAAGATCCCGAGGTTTAAGTTATTTAAATTATAAGGTATCAATCAAGATCCCGAGGTTTAAGTTATTTAAATTATAAGGTATCAATCAAGATCCCGAGGTTTAAGTTATTTAAATTATAAGATATCAATCAAGATCCCGAGGTTTAAGTTATTTAAATTATAAGATATCAATCAAGATCCCGAGGTTTAAGTTATTTAAATTATAAGATATCAATCAAGATCCCAAGGTTTAAGTTATTTAAATTATAAGATATCAATCAAGATCCCGAGGTTTAAGTTATTTAAATTACAAGGTATCAATCAAGATCCCGAGGTTTAAGTTATTTAAATTATAAGGTATCAATCAAGATCCCGAGGTTTAAGTTATTTAAATTATAAGATATCAATCAAGATCCCGAGGTTTAAGTTATTTAAATTATTTAAATTATAAGGTATCAATCAGGATCCCGAGGTTTAAGTTATTTAAATTATAAGGTATCAATCAAGATCCCGAGGTTTAAGTTATTTAAATTATAAGGTATCAATCAAGAACCCGAGGTTTAAGTTATTTAAATTATAAGGTGTCAATCAAGATCCCGAGGTTTAAGTTATTTAAATTATAAGGTATCAATCAAGATCCCGAGGTTTAAGTTATTTAAATTATAAGGTATCAATCAAGATCCCGAGGTTTAAGTTATTTAAATTATAAGGTATCAATCAGGATCCCGAGGTTTAAGTTATTTAAATTATAAGGTATCAATCAGGATCCCGAGGTTTAAGTTATTTAAATTATAAGGTATCAATCAGGATCCCGAGGTTTAAGTTATTTAAATTATATTTTTGCAACTTAATAAATTAGTATTGAAATATTTATTTTGTAGGTTGATGCATCATCGGTTACACAAATTATATTTCATTTTTTAATAAATTAATCATATCATTTAATTATATATTTCAAATTCACGAAACCATTATATCATTTAATTATATATTTCAAATTTAAGAAATTATTATATCCTTTAATTTCTTTCATTCTCAAAATAAATTTACTAAATTTTTAAGTTTTATAAGTTAATATATCAACATTTATGACTTAATATACATATATATATATTTAAAGTTAATATATTAGAAATTATATATATATTTAAATCAAATTATATAAATTTTAAATTTAGGAAATAATTTTTTTGTCTTTTTTCTTTTGTTCCTAACATCTTCAAAATTAATTTACTAAATTAATGGGAAAAATTAATGAATTAATTTTTAAAAAAGAATTTTAGATAAGAATTTAAAATAATATTTGCGTAATGAAATTATAAAATAATAAATTTTATTAGGCAATGGAGCCAGTTTGTGAAACAGAATGCATTTCATCGGTGAAACTTTGCTGTCAAAAGCAAGGTTCTATAGCAGTTAAAATGTCAGTTGATCGAACTGGATTCACACCTGGTGAAAAAATTCAAGTAAATGCATTGATAACTAATGATAGTACCAAAATGATTCGATGTTTAACATTAAAAATGAAACAATATATTGATTACAGGTAATTCGGATCTCTTTTTTAAATTTAAATTTAAATTATGCTAATTTCTGTGAAAATTATTATCATTGTTTATTTAAAAATGTTAAAAAAAATGCTAACAAGTGCTTTTTTTTTTGTATTTAATTAATTAATGAATTTAAATTCTTTTACATTAATAAATTATTTCAGATAATATTTTTGATTTTTTTCTGGGAAAAATTATTTTGAACAGTGATGAATAGTTGTTTAATATCATTTTTTCATTTAAAAATACAATTTTAATTATTAGTATTTAAGTACCAACAATAAATTAAAAGTATAATAAATTAAAAAATATAATAAATTTAAAAAAAAAATTTACCACTAATCATTATTGTTGGAATAAAACTTAGAAATTGATTAAAGAAACAAATTTTCAAATTCTATATTCTATGCTTTTAATTTATGCTAATTTATGTAATTTATGAAGAAAATATTAGTCTAAAATTAAAATTTAAAATTTTATTTGTTTAAATTTTAAAAAAAAGAATGCAAAAAATTTAATTAGAAATGCTTGCTACTATTACAGGGCTAAAACATTTGCTGGCAATGAAGAAATGAAACAAGCAAATCGGTTAATTGCAAAGAAAGAGAAAGGTGACATTGCGTCACATTCGACATTTGCATGGACAAATGAAACAATTGATGTGCCACCTGTTCCACCGAGGTTATCGCGGTGTAAAATTATACAAAATAATTATATGATTGAATTAGATGTATGCTTTTCATTTTATATCTTTTTGTTATTTTTTTTTTTTTAAAGAAACTTTCAGTTTCTAAAATTTTAAATTTATATATAATTAAATTACACAAAATTTATATATAATTAAATTACAGAAAATATTTATATGACTGAATTAAATGTATGCTTTCATTTGCATATTTTTGTTAAATTTTAAGAAAGTTCCAGCTTTTAAATTTCAGATTTTTTATAATTAACAATGAATTAATTAGTTGATTTGAAACATTCTCCTAAATTGAAAAAAATGAGGTGAAAAACAAATACATATATATATATAGTATTGTTTCAATAACAGATCTAAATATACCATATATTCCTTTTTTTTAAAAAAAAAAAAATTATGATTAAACTATTGATGAATTATAATGCAAAAAATTGAAAAATCTCTTATTAAATGCATTCTTCATTTTCAAAAATCCATAAAAGAATTTTTTAATTTCAATTTTGAATTTTTTTCTTTTGTTTAAATTTTAGGTTGATGGTAATGTTGCAACTGTAATACCAATACAAATAGGCACAATACCATGTTTAGCTGCATTATTTCAACGAAATTTAAATGATAAAAAAGAAATTGATGATGATGATGATGATGATAATGATGATGATAATAATGATAACGATGGAAAGAGTAGAATAAATGGTGATATTAAAATTAATGAATCATCATCGATGCTTCCAAGTAATAAACCAAAAATACAGGTTACAGTTAAAAAATTTTTTCTTTTGTTCAATAATATGTGATTTTATTACTTTCATAGATTAAAATATAATTTTTCAACCATAAATAATGCTATAAATCAATTAATTATTTTCATTATGTGATAATTTTTATTTGAATTTTTTTAATTTTTATTTAATATTTTCTGAGCATTTATTTATAACTTTTTTTGCTAACATTAGCACTGATAATTAATAATAATAATAATAATAATAATAATAATAATAATAATAATAATAATAATAATAATAATAATAATAATAATAATACTAATAATAGCGCTTCAAAATTAATTGTTGCTTTTCATTATTATTATTATTATTGTTTCTTATTTATTTTTTCTTTTAATATTTATTTTTATTGCTAGCTAATGCTCTTTGAGTAGTAATGATTTTTAAGCTAAAAAAGAAAAAAAAAAATTAAAATTTAGAAAAATAATTTTTTCTTTTCTGCTAGGTTACAATAACAACTGAAAATGGCCAAACATTGGATAATACAAGTGAAACTGATGAATTAAGCCCAGACATGGAGCTAATGTTATTATCCAAGAAACGTGTACGTATACCAAGTTCCATCCTCAGTGAACTTTACCCAAAACTTCCAAATCCATATTACAGGTTAATTTAATTTTTGCAATATTTTTATCCTTTAAATACTTTCATTTTAGTGAATTTAGCAAAATACACTTTTATTTTTTTTTTTTTAATAAACTGAAAAAATTAAGTTAAATTTTAAAAAGAAAAAAATATTTGCTTAGAATTTGTTTTTTGTTTTCTATTTATCTTTTTTATTTATAAAATTGAATGTTTGTTTAAGAAATCTGAATGTTTATTGAAATTCAATTACCAATAATTTATATCATTTTTTTCTTTTGTTTTTTTAAAACATGATTAATTGTGATCTTTTGCTTTTTTCTTTTTTAAATTATGATTACATTTACTTTTACTCTATTTTCAACTTTCCAATATTTTATTTATTGTTTTAAAATAATCAAATCAATTAATTTATTCTCGAAATAAATTATTAAGAAATTCAAAAAATTATTTCTGCAAATTATTTGCAAATAATAATTTTTTTTTTTTGATAATATTTCAAATTGGTTACAATATTTTTTGCAATTATTTATTTATTTATATAAAATGACATTCTAATTTTACTATGAAATGGTATAATTCTGTTTTTTTTTTTTTTTTGAAATGATTATTGCACATGGATTTTAATTGATAATTACTTGGAACTTTGTAATTTAAATAAATTTAATTACAGTTTAGCAATAAATTGCAGACAATCACTTTTTGGTGAAGTGGACATATCAGAAGATCAAGAACATGTACAGTATGGTGATACTAAATTTGCTCCTAAATATCCATTTTATACGGATTAAATTAAAATTATTACTTTGTTTTTTTTTTTTTTTTATTCTTATTTTTTGTCTATTTCAAATTATTTAGTATAAAATGTAAATTAAAATTTTTTTTTTCTAATTTATACTATTAATAAGTTCTTACGATGAGAAGAAATAGTTGAATTAAATGAAATTTTAATAGCATTTTCCTTTTTCATAATGTAATTTTTCATTTTTTTTTCTTTCAAAATTTAAATTTTAACATTTCGACAAAAAAAAAAACTGAAATTTTTCTTTTTTTAAAAAAAAAAAATAAAATTCTAACGAAAAGAAAGAAAAAATTTTCTGTGACAAAATTTTACAAATTGATTTTATTATTCCATTTTGATTGAATATAAAGATAAAAAAAGAGAGAAGAAAGAAAAATTTTATCTTTCAAAAAAAAAAAAAAAAAATTCCATTCTTTATTTTTGAATAAATATGAAAATAATTTCCGGAAGAATAATAAATAATCTTACCGGATTAATTATCATGTCATTTTGTTGCACATTTCGTATTCATACAATTTTATGCTTTAATATTACTACAATCATATGCAATAATTTCAATTATTTATTACTAATCCTAATTTCAATTTTAACTAAATTAATTCATTAATGTGAAAAATAATTTTGTTTGTAACCTTTCAAATATTTAGAAAACTTTTCTTATTTCCAAAAAAATTTTCAAATTCATTTCATTTTTCTTTTTTTTTTTTTAACTTAAAAAAATTCTTTTCTTTGCTCAGTTGCTCAATGAATTATTTGTTATTTACTAGGAATTTAATTATAAAAAAATTACAAAAGACTGAAACTCATATTTTGCAGTAATTTTTTTTTTTTAGTAATTTAAAATTGTTTAATTATAATTATGCCATCAATTAAAAATGCCTGCTGTTATTGCAATGTTAATTTGTGAAGCTATGCGTTTAAATTGTCATTTCAAAGTGTCACCATTAATGTCAAAATTTTGTCTAAAAAATTTTATTAATTATATAAGAATATGCTGGAAAAAAAAATTAATTCTTTTGCTTCGTACTTTTCATAATTTCTTTATTAATTTTTAATAATTTTTAATTTTTATTTTCATTTGATAACAGAAATTCTAATTTTCATTTTGATTTTATAAAAATTTCTTTCAAATTATTTCAAATAGGCATCAAATGATTTAATTTTTATCTTTGTTATTAATAGAAAATCCTTTAGATTTCTTCTTTCTCATTTTTTTTTTTTTAATTTAATTTATTAAAGCAGCAAAAAACATTTAGCATTGGTTTTTGATTGTTGTATAATTTCAGTGAATCTTTTTTTTTTTTTAAATTCAGAATATTAAATATATTTTCAATATCAAATTTAGGTTTAGTTGCTGAAATAAAAATTAGCGAAAACGTTAATCGAAATGAAAGATAAACAAGAAAATAAATATTTGTTACTTTGCAATTATCATTTTTTTTTTTGCAATTGCTTTGCTGTTAATTAATATTAATTAATAAAATTTAGTATTCATAAACTTCTGTTATTTTTTTTCATAAAAAAAAAATGAATAAATTTTAAAAGTTAATGAAATTTGAGAAGTAATTTTATCTTTTAGGCGTAGTTATGATATTATTACTTAATTAAGTCAATGAAAATTACTAATTCCGTAAACAAATCAATAATTTAGTAAATCAGTTTTCCTAATTCGTTCCAAGAAATGCAGTAAAAGCTTCCTTTGCTTATTTCATTGTTAAATCAAATTTATTAAATTTAATAAATCAAATGAGAATATTTATGCAATTATTGCAGTAAAAGTTAATTTTTACAAACCTTTGAAATCAATTATATAAGAAATCAATTTGAAATCAATTATATAAGAAATCAATTTGAAATCAATTATATAAGAAAATAAATTTTGTAAATGCATTACCATCATCGTTTTTTGATTTTGTTTTGCGTTAAATCTTGAAATGTTTGATATAAAATTTTTGTTTTTTAATTTTACTTTAAAAAAAAAATTGTTTCAAATTTTGAATAACAAAAATAAAGTTTACTTTAAATGTTTCACAGCTCAGCACAAATATATGCATATAATTTTAATTAAATTTCTTATGTTTGATATTAATTAATAATGGAGTTTAATTTTTATTATATCTGATTTTTGTTGAAACATTGAAAATATATCAAACCTTTAATTTACAATACGATATTATTATCTGAGTAAAGGGAAAATAACGAAAGTATCAAAATAATTAAATCATTAATGCATTTAATTTTAAAGAAATTAATAATAATTAAATAACATATTTAATTTTAGAATTTTACTTGCACTAAGAATTTTACAAATTTATGATGAAAATTTGTGTTATTTACTTTTTCTTTCATTTTTCCATATGAAAAAAAAAAGGAAGCACACTTTTTCAAAAAAAAAAATCAAAACATCTGATTTACTTTTGAATAAAAGAATTAGTAAATGTATAATTTTAAAATGAGTGTAAATAAAATAATTTAATTCAATTCGCCATTAAATTTCAAGCTAAATTAGAGTAAATTGACAATTAATTAAAATTAAAAAAACATTTTTACTTTTCAATGATAGAAAAAACTATGTTTAGTTTTTAGTAAAGAAAAAAAGAAAGAGAAAAGCGAAATTTGAAGGAGATATTATCATGCAAATTCCTTAACTAATCAAGTCAATAGCGCTTTTCTTGCGATTAGCACTCGCAATATGCGCGACTCCTTTCTGCGACATTATGCGACCCGTTGCCATGGTGAACTATCAATAGTCACTCTTACTTTAGCTGTTACTACCTTTCATAAAGTATATAACTTGTTGATAATTATAAAATAACGATTGTTATAGATAAAGTTATATTTATTCATTGTTAAGCGCAATAGTCTTGCAGACTATTGCGCTTATAATTATGAGATTGAGTAAAATGAAATTAAGTAAAAATTTAAAAAAAAAAGAAAAACTTGGCTGCTTGTTAAAGATAACTTTTATACGTTTAATTGATCTATTTAAATTTGATAAAATTATCATTTAGCCATTTCAAAAAAAAATAAATAAATAATAATAATCCAATAATCCACGGAAATTTATTCTATTTATAGGATGCAAATGTGGTAATGAATTCAAAATTAAAAATGCCATTGATTAGCATTTGGCAAGATCGTGACATACGATTCGATATAAATCCACGGTATTGATTAATTATTGCTTGATTAATTTAATTTTATTTACTTTTTATCAAATCAAGAAGAATTCATTGATAAGTAATATAATCTAATTATTATTATCAGTAATCTTATCATTTTGATAATCTAATAAACTAAAAAACCTAAAATTTTGATAAATAACTTTTAGAAAAAAAAAAAAAAGAAAATAATAATGATTATAGATTATTACAACTAATTTCTGGTGAACATCTTGTGGAACGTATTGATGGTGTTGAAGATACAAAAGGAAATTGTGGTGATAAGGGTATTCTTCGAATAACAAATTTAAGACTTACATGGCATGCAACCGCTATACCACGTATTAATTTAAGTCTCGGGTAAATCTCAATAAACATTCATTATTTACATTAATGAATCAATTTTTCTTCTTTCTTATATTAAACAAATTGTTTAATTTATTATACATTTATCAGATTTATATTATCAAATATTTAATAAAATTAAATAAAAAATAATATATATATGTATTATTTTTTATAAAAATAATATATGATAATTAAACTTAAATTATTTATCATAAATTAGCGCTAATTTCTTTTTTTTTTTAGATATAATACAATAAGTGGTGTAACAACAAGATTTACAAAATCAAGACTTCGTGGACAGACTGAATCACTTTACATTTTAGCGCATCATGCAAATGCTCGATTTGAATTCATCTTCACCTGCATTAATCCTTCACAGGTGTGTGTTTTTTTTTTAATTTATTTAACTTTTTTTTTGTTATTTAATTTAATTTGTTTTTTTTTATTATTATTTTTTTGGTTTTTTTTTTTATTTTTTTATTATTTAAAATTGTTGGTGCAAATTTTTTCTAAAAAATAATCTTTTGTTTTTTTTTTGTTTTTTATTTATTGTTTTATAAATAATTAATTTGCTCTTTTTCATTAAACTTACTTACAAGTAATCATCAACAAATATCATTTAATATCTTAGACAAAACATTTTACAACAGTAATATCAATTCATCGAGCATATGAAACATCGAAGCTTTATCGAGAGTTAAAAATGCGTGGTGCATTAGTGAATGATGATGAGAAACTTCGAATTTTACCAGATGAGCAGCAATGTGATCGTTTTAATGGTGTATGGAATTTAGGTAGTGATCAGGTAAATGGTATTTAGTTATAATTTAATTTAATTTATTAGAAAAAATAAAGTTATAATTTAATTATTGAAAAATTTTTTAAAGAAAAAAAAAAAAAAAACATTGACACATATATTTTTATTATCATAGAAAATTATAGAAATTTTTGATTGATTGTTTTCTTATTGTGTAAATTTGATGAATGTTTCTTTTTTTTTCTTTTTCTTTCTTTTTTTTTTGTTTATTTGTTTATTTATAATTTATTCATTTAGGGAACACTTGGTATTATGATACTTACTAATATTCGTATTGTATGGTTTGCAGCAACAAATACAATGTATAACGTAAGTATACCATATTTACAAGTGCAGGATTGTCGTATACGTCATTCACGTTTTGGTCTTGTTTTGGTCATTGAAACTTCAGCTGTTGTAAGTTTGAAAGAAGAAGTTACTGGTTTTATTTACAAAATAGTTTATTCAAATGTATTTTTATGTAATTTATTCTAATTAGAAATTTTAGTAATACTTACTCTTAGTTTAGCTGTAATTTCTAAGATTTTATTATTATCTTAAACAATATTATTATTTTCAATATTTTCCGGATTACTTTTCTGGTTTTTTTTTCTTTTTTTTTCTATCAAAACTGATGAAAAAAATTACCAAATCAGATTGTGAACATGAATTGTATTCGTTTTT